CCTGGCCCTAAACCCTAAAAGGCCCTGCAGCCTGGCCCTAAACCCTAAAAGGCCCTACAGCCTGGCCCTAAACCCTAAAAGGCCCTAAACCCCAAAACCCTAAGCTCTTCGAGAGCAGATATGCCTTGGGCATGGAGAAATCCGATAAGAAGGCCACTGAAGTCCTTACAACTCCACCCTACCTTGAACAACCAAAACCTACTGGGGGTTTAGGGTTTAGGGTTTAGGGTTACTTGATGTCGGTTCTTAGCATAAACCCCAACCCCAACGTGCATTTTGTAGGGACCCCTCAACAAAAAGCATGTTTCGGCAGCTTAAGGTAGCAAGCATCCTGAAAGCAGCCTGAAACAACGTGTGTTGAAACTGCTACGCTGCTACGCCCTTTCGAAAGCTCAGCGGCAATGTAACCACCTTCCCACTTTAGGATATGGGTAGTTCTCTAAATTAGGGTCCCTTTTTAGGTCCCCAATATAGTACGGCACCCTTATAAAAAGGACCCCTAAAAGGGACCCCTAATTTTGTGAACTACCCAGATGCAGTATCGCTGACCTCGCTGGCGACCTTGGTCACGTAGCTGCACACAGCCAGCATCGCCTGCTGCGCATGCGGTGGGGTTTTCCACTTCCAAATTAGTCCTAACCTCCCAGGTACCTACTATATAGGGTACTGGAGCCCCTAGGGCCCTATATAGTAGATACCTGGGAGGTTAGGGTAGTATCCTCTGTGGGCTTGTCAGAAAATTCGAGCTCGATCCGTAAAGCGGAACTTACTTACAGGAAACTCCAATCTGTCCACATGTAGCGCAGAGATCGTCGGGATGAGATAACTACCACGCTGCGACTATGCCGGGACGTCCTACACCATCGTAAACTGGTTTAGGAGCTTACTCCAGTGGCTTTGATGCATTATTGCGACAAGTTTTGGGTGGCATATTCTACAGGGTTTTCGCACTTCCAAGCAGCTGGCATTCCACCCGGAACTCAATCTCTCTCACACCGCGAAGGGCTTGTAGGATAAAGGGTTTAGGGCCAAGGGCCCAGGGTTTAAGGATAAGTTCCATCCCTAAACCCTAAACCCTAAACCCTAAACCCTAATCCCTAAACCCTAAACCCTGAACTCTTAGATCTTTTCCAAAAAGCTCCGATCTCCTGCCGACAACCTTCCAAAGCTACTGAACAGTCACCTAAACCCTAAACCTCACACTCAGAAGTCTGACCCAGAAGCCCAACCCCGCACAACCTGACCCCTGAGACAAAGCCCTAAACCATAAACCCTCAACCTTCGCAGAGCCCTTTTACAACGCTATAAACTACCATGGACCATAAACTCCACAACTCTGACGACAGACAGTTTTCGACTCGTATTTGCAAGTTCGTACAACCCTCACAGAGCATATAGTCCGTATAGAGATTACAGAGCCCTCATGAAGCCCTACAGCCCTAAACTACAGAAATGCCCATGCCTTCGACTGGTCCGCCATGGTTGCAAGGGATCTCAGCAATACTTTCAGAGTTTATGGTTCAGGGTGTAGGTTTAGTGTTACTATGAGAGTTACGCTAAACGATGGGTTGCTTGAGGTACTTCTCCTGCAGTGGAAGCTTTGAAGGGGTTCTATATCTATATAATTTCGAAACGGAGGTCGATGGGATTTCTGGGTTCGAAACGGATGTCGATGGGATTAGCTGAGAATTTTTCCTCTGTCTTTCTGCAGATTAACCCCTCAGCACGCCTATGTCTGCGAACCCATGCCAATCAGCTCGGCTGCCAGGATGTCATGTACTTAACGTAATGACCGTAGCGCTCAGACTCGGATTGTCAGATATGTTATATTGCGATTGTATGTTGCTGTATGCGTATGTATATTTATATGAACACACACACACACAAATTTGTATGTGTGTAGATATATATATGTATATATAAGCAGCATGCGTGCTATACATATAATACACCTGTGTACAGAACCATACACGTAAACACACCTACACATGCACATACGCAGACACAGACATCTGCACCGACACAGACATAAATATATACACATTACATAAACACATGCGTGTACATATACGCATATACATGTACATGTACATCTGAGTTTTCATGTACACATACATATACTGTGTAAATATAAATGCACACATACATAGGCATACCCATGTAGCGACTCGAAAGCAACACTGTTCCTAGGTAGTCAGAAGCCTACATGTCCAGTTCGCGTGGCTTCGTGTTGCCTACCCTGGAAACCCGCAGCTCCAAACCCAAAACCCCGAACAATGCAGCCCAGCAAGGGGCAGGTTTGGCGGGGTGGACGGGTGGGGGAAACGTGGATGCTAAAAACGTACATGCTCTTGCTCGCGCTTGATTTTCTGTCCATATTTGTTCAATTTTTCGGCACTTCAAGCTGCCGATTTTTCGATTTCAGTACTTGGGTTTGCGGTGCTTTTCACTTCGGAATTCCGAACTTCAGATTTCAGGTGGAGGGGAGCTCTCCAAAAAAGCTTGCTTGAAGCAGTAGGCGGAACTTGATAACAGAGAGCAAAGTGCTTCGGTTACATGAGACCGGAACTTTCTTGAACGAACGTAGTCAACACTAGAGTTTCCAGCAGGCGAAAAATGCGCACCCGTGTAGTTGCGCTCATAGGACGCCAAACAACGGTTCCAACAACGTAAGTCACTTAAGTCCTCTTCCTCAGTACCTTGTAGCTTTGGGAGCCACTAGGAGGGCTCAGGAGTTCTAACTGTGTAATATAGGAGCCTTTCGTAATTTGCAAAAGGATTTTCGACAGAGTAGGAGCTATTGGAAGCATTATTCTGGCTATGATTTTTGTCACTACGATCATACGTAGTGCATTAAGGAACACGACAGACTAGCATTGGTAAACACTAGAGCCCTCATCTTACTCAGAAGTCTTCCGCTGCTCAGCGGGCTCTTGGTTGAGAGCTTGGGTGGAACATAAGGGCCTTGTCTTCAGGGTTTCGGGTTGAGGGTTTTAGGGTTTAGAGGTGTAGGGTTCGAGGGTTTGTTTTGAAGGGAGTTAGGGCAGTCTTTTTAGTGTAGGGGTTTGGGCTTAGGGCTCAGGGATTGGAGGCGATGATGGCCAGAACAGGCTTTTGAGATCCACTATCGTGTAGCGAACTACGGACGAAAACAAGACATGATTTCAAACTATTCCGAGCCCCTACATGCGCTAGGTATTATGAGCTTGGGGTGTCGAGAAGCTTCCTTCGATGCTGACGTCTGCTTGGGCCCGGACGTCGAAAAAAACAGACGCGGACAAGCTCACGGCACCAATGTGTGTCTACTTCAGTCCTTATCGTAAACCCTAAACCCTAAACCCTCAACCCTAAACCCTAGAGTTCGACGCATGCTGTTGCAGAGTCTGGACCCTAAACCCTGAAACTCTGACTGTGGGAGCAATTTCTGAGCAAGCATCCCGACGCATCTACCGACGTAAAGCCCGACGGACTCGCTGCTTTGATGTCTACCATCCTAAACCCCTAACCCTCCAGGTACCTACTATATAAGGCCTTAGGGGCTCTAGTACCCTATATAGTAGGTACCTGGGGGGTTAGGGAAACCCCAAGCCGTACTTCTCCGTACATCCCTCAGTAGAGCTCAAGCATGGGAGACTGAAGCAAAAGGTCACCGCGCGACAGCGACAGCAATGCTTCAACTGAAACTTCCTGTACGCCGAAGCCTAACCAAGAGGGTCCATATATACTACCAGTATGGAATTAGGTCCCCAAAACCATATTAGGGATGGTCTTTTGGAACCAAATTCCATAATGGTAGTGTAGATGGACCCTCTGGGTAAGCTGAACACCACGAGCCATGCAGACCATAAATGTGGGAAAGATCCAGGCCATGCACCCGATCGGCCATACTTCGAAATGCCGCAAGCATGATAAGGGAGCCTTGATCGTATAATCATAGTACTAAGGAACCCCAACAAGGAACGCAGTACTATGTATGTATTCCGACCGCGATATTAAGTACTTTGAGGTCTGGCGAGGCGAGGTTTGTCATGGCCACACCTCACAGAAAATCAAACCTCTATGCCTCAAACCCCTTCCCTACAATATGCCAGACACCCCTATTGTAAATATGTGTAATGCCATGAACTCCAAGACACTGATAGAAACCGTACCCGAAACCCTAAACCCTCGAAAACCCCAAACCCTAAACCCTAAGCCCTAAACCCTAAACCCTAAACCCCCCAAACCCTAAACCCTAAACATCCCTAAACCCTATAACCCAAACCCTAAGCCCTAAACCCCTGCGTGTTGGAACGCAAGGCGACGACAAGCAGACCAAAGCTTCGATGCGAAACTTAAACCTGAAACCTAGATAAACGGGGAATTAAAGGTTTAGGCTTTAGGGTATGGGGTTTACGGTTTAGGGTTTAGGGTTTGGGGTTTAGGGTTTGTTCGGGATTCAGGGTTTAGGGTTTGGGGTTTGGGGAAACAAAAACGAGCTGAAACCTAGAAACGGCTAAGCGGTAAGGGCTCAGATGTCAAAGTTTGGGGTTTGGGGTACCTAAACCCCCCCAGGAACCAGGTGGACAAGGAATCTGAAGGGAGCTTCGGTGGCGGGTGGGATAGGAATCTCTTCAGCTTTCTCGACATCTGATGATGATCGATGGGATACCATAGTGGCTGATGCGACCATGTTCACACCGTAGCGTCTCAAATAGTTGAACAGTTTGCTGTGTATTCACCTGCCGGTGTAAGGCTCATTGCTGCACAAGCGCAGCACAAGAAGAAGCCTGCTAACTCGGAAGGCTGTCATAAAATGCGTTCTGCGTCATAGCAGAGTCTGCTCAAGGAACAAACCTCGCAGCCACAAACCTAAACTTCTGAACACAAAGCCTGAGATTCCGAAAGAAAGCAGCACAACATGCAATTTCAGAGGTTGCACCTTTGGCATCAAAACGCTGAGTGCCTCTCGGGCAAATTCTTTATGACTCCATGGGGCAAGAAAGCTTTTTTCGGATTTCAACCAGTGTTTAAGGTTCGGATTGGGGAATATCAACACCCTAAGTCCTCGACCGGAAAGTACTTAATTGGTTTTGCGGGGCTGATGTGCACAAGATGCGGCTCTGAATGATTGTTGGTTGGGGGCAAGGGCTTCAAGTAGTACGAACATTTCGACAAGGTGTTGCACTCTACACTTTTGCCACTAGGATAGCCGTTTATGTCAGCCCATCTTGCGGCATTCCATCTCCTTTCTGGCGACTTGCTTCATGAACCCAAGGCGTGGAACTTCTCTCACGGTTTAGGGCTAAGGGTTTACTCGTAAATCAATTTCTTGCTGAGCCAGTCAGAAGGCTCAGCTGCATCTACTTTGATGTAGCCAATGATCGTGTCATTGGGGCGGAGTTTGGGGTTGATGATGGCGGTACTCGTTGAAGACACTCCGTGCCGTCCCCCATCTTCAAGTTCATGTCAATGTGCTTCCACTGGATCTTCTTGGCACCTGCCTTCTCACCGATTTGTCACGAAGTGAGGAAACCCTGTTTCCATTCTTCAAGTCAGCAAGGTCATAGGTCTAGTCACCGCACTTGCATTTCAACGCGATGAGCAAGTCCATCCTATCCTTCTTGTCGTCCTTCTTCCTTTCGGCATGGGTCAAAGACTGGTTCTTCTGCAAAGGCTCAGCGGTTTTTCTAAGCAAGCTATCAAGCTTCCACTTCCGCTGAATGATGAGGGTGGAACGGTGGAACCCCAAACCCCAACAGTGCCAGAAGCCCAAGCCCAAACCCCTCCTAAACCCCCAAACCTAATCCCCGAAGCCCAAACCGTGCCTCCCGGCAGAATACTACGGCGCCATCGCGTCGAAGTCGAAAGCGGGAAGGGCAAGGGACTTGGGCGGTTTGGGGCTTCGGGGTTTTAGGTCCTGCGGGTTTGGGGATTTCCGGGTTCAGGCTTCTAGGGTTTTTTTGAGGGTCTTCTAGTGCTTCGGGTTGAGGGTGCAAGGTGTAGCATCTAGGGGTTTAAGGTCTATAGGGTTTGATTCTTGTTTTATTTGAGCTCAGAGCCCTAAACCCTCAACCGTACGCCCTGAAACCCCAAAACCCTAAGCCCTAACCGCTGCTTTCTCGTGGGCGCTGCGGTGAGAGGGCCCTAAACCCTAAACCCTAAACCCTAAACCCCTAAACCCCTAAACCCCTAAACCCCTAAACCCCTAAACCTTCGACCTCCGTCTTCGCGCTGAGTCGGTTCGCGGTGGGTTCCCACTTTTAGGTCCTCGGACCTTCCTTGAGCTTGCAATGCTGCGATGTTCGTAGGGTTGAGGGTTTAGGGTCTAGGGCTTTAGGGTTTAGGGTTTAGGGTTTGGGGTTCAGGGTTTAGGGCTTAGGGTTTATATGGTTTAGGCTATCTGAGGGTCGAGGTTGCCCGGGTCTTACCAGAAGCAATGATGGTGGCATGCTCTCTTCTAAGGGCATGAGGCTGCTTAGGAAGCATCAGGGTACAAGGTTGACATGTCCTCAGAGTAGCAGTATTCACCACGGTACTAGCACACGGGTAGCATCATAACAAGTAAGGGTCCCATAAGGGTACAAATTCAATGGGGCCCATGGCATGTCAAAGAGACTCACAGTCATCACCAGCATCAGCATTCTCACCACCCCCTGGAGGATGCACGCAGTTCGAGCTGAAAGGTTAGAATAGAGGAGCCTTCATAATTAAAACAGGAGACTATACTTATAATAAGGAACCCCTGAAACCCTGTTCGAATTATTAAGGCCCCTACATTAGAGTTTTCTGTGTTTTCGGGCCTCAAAACGATTTCACACATCAGGTCTCGATAACTCGTCTCTGAGACTTAGGTGGCGGTGCCTGGACAAGGACATACTACTGATGGCATTCCTTACATAGGGCTCTTTGATGTGCTTCTAGTTTAGAACCCCCCCCCCCCCCCCACCCC